TTTTTTCTCTTGAAAAGTGTGTCAAAAGAAAAGTACTGCTGAGGAAGATCCCAAACAAAAACATTTTACAGAAATGGGAAAGGAAGCGAGTGGTAAAATTTCAGGGGCAGCAGATATTTTCCCCTCTCACTGATCTGCCATGATGCCTACAATTCCTATTACAAAAAACACCTTGGTCTTAAGGCATTGTACTCCTGCAGGGGTTGGTTATGTGTAAATAGCCTTTTTATGAATCTCTCCTCAATTACTCCTTCTGAGTGTGCCGTCTCTTTCCTCTGGGTCCCTGACCTTGATAGCTGGGGTAGAAAGGGTATAGAGGACAGGGATGAAAGACCTAAGGAAGTAGTTGGTAACCAACTGGATGTGATAGGTAATAAAGAAGGAGTTCTCACAGATCATGTGGAGGTCTTTGACTGGGAGTCCTGGGAGAAGGAGAGGAGAAACCAGGATTCAGTTGGGGCATGTTCAGTTTGAAGTGTCTGTGGGCAATTGTAGGGAGATACACAGTAGAACTGGAAATATGGATCTAGCATTTAAGAGAGAGGTCAGAGCTCTGAGAAACTTCTGAATTGGATGGTAGTTGAAGCCATAGGAACCAACGAACTCTGAAGAAGAGAGAGTGAAAAAAAGGCTAAGGACTAAACTGCAGGGCTAAGAAGCAAAGGGAGAGAAGACAGAGAGAGACTTGTATAGATTTCTGATAAGCTGGTGCTAAGGTTTGAATGTATCTCCTCCAAATTCATGTATTGAGGTTTTGTTCTTAAGAAGGTGGAGACTTGGGGACCAGCAGGTGGCATGGTGGCTGGGGTGCTGGACACTCCCACATGGCCGACCATGGTTCAAATCCTGGACCTGGTGGCTTGCTTTCTCACTTTCTCTCTCTCTCTGTCTCTCTCTGGTCAAATTAAAATGAATGAATGAATAAGTAAAATTAAATAAATTAAAAAAAAAAGAAGAAGGTGGAGACTTAATTTAACTGTGGTGTTAAAACATGGATCCTTTGGGCCCAGGAGGTGGTGTAATGGTTATATTGTTGGTCTTCCATGTAGTTGACCATGGTTTGAGTCCTGGACCTGGTGACTTAAAACCTCACACTGTGTGTGTGTGTGTGTGTGTGTGTGTGTGTGTGTATGCCCAAAATCACGAGAGCATGGGGGAGATGGAGGGAAAGGAAAGAGGA